AGGTCATGATCTCACAGTTGGTGGGATCAAGCCCCACGTCGGGCTCTATGCTGAAAGCATGGAGACTGCTTAGGATTTTTTCTCTCTCCCCCACTGTCTGCCCTTACCCTGCTCATGCTGTCTCTTTGTCTCTAAATAAATAAATAAAATAAATAAATAAATAACACAGTGTTTAAGCTATATAAATGTAGGTGATTTACAAAGAGTTTTATTTTACTGTTCTTTTTTATTTATATTCTAGTTAGTTAGCATACAGCGTGATAATTTGTTTCAGGAGTAGAATTCAGTGATTCAACACTTACATATAATACCCAGTGCTCATCCCAACAAGTGCCCTCCTTAGTACCCATCGCCCATCCCCCACCCACCTCCCTCCATCAACCCTCAGCTTGTTCTCTATTGTTAAGAGTGTCTTGTGGTTTGTTTCCCTCTCTTCTCTTTTTCTCCCCCTCCCATATGTTCATCTATTTCTCAAGTTCCACATATGGGTGAAGTCATGATATTTCTTTCTCTGATTGACTTATTTCACTTAGCATAATACACTCTAGCTCCATCCACGCTCTTGCAAATGGCAAGGTTTCATTCTTTTTGATTACCAAGTAATACTTCATTGCATATATGTATACCACATCTTTATCCATTCTTCAGTCTGTGGACATTTGGGCTATTTCCGTAGTTTGGCTGTTGTTGATAGCAATGCTATAAGCATTGGAGTTCACATGCCCCTTTGAATCTGTATTTTCGTATCCCTTGGGTAAATACCTAATAGTGCAATTGCTGGGTCATAGGGTAGTTCTATTTTTAGTTTCTTGAGGAACCTCTATACTGTTCTCCAGAGCGGCTGCACCAGTTTGCATTCCCACCAGCAGTGCAAGAGTGGCCCCCTTCCTTTGCATCCTCCCCGACACCTGTTGTTTCTTGTGTTGCTAATTTTAGCCATTCTGACTGCTGTGAGGTGGTATCTCATTGTGGTTTTGATTTGCATTTACCTGATGGTGAGTGATGTTGAGCATCTTTTCATGTGTCTGTTAGACATCTGGATATCTTCTTTGGAAAAGCTTATGTCTTCTGCCCATTTTTAAATTGGATTATTTGGTTTGGGGGTGTTAAGTTTGGTTAAGTTCTTTATAGATTTTGGATACTAACACTTTATCTGATATGTCATTTGCAAATATCTTCTCCCATTCCATAGCCTGCCTTTTAGTTTTGTTGATTATTCCCTTCACTGTGCAGAAGCTTTTTATCTTGATGAGGTCCCAATAATTCATGTCTGCTTTTGTTTCCCTTGCCTTCGGCGATGTGCCTCGTAAGAAGTTGTATGGCCTAAGTCAAAGAGGTCGCTGCCTTTGTTCTCTAGGGTTTTGGTAGTTTCCTGTCTCACATTAGGTCTTTCATCCATTTTGAATTTATTTTTGTGTATGGTGTAAGCAAGTGGTCCAGTTTCATTCTTCTGCATGTCACTGCTCAGTTTTCCCATCACCATTTGCTAAAGAGACTCCCTTTTTCCCATTGGACATTCTTTCCTGCTTTGTTGAAGATGAGTTGGCCATATAGTTCTGAGTCCATTTCTGGGTTTTCCATTCTGTTCCATTGATCTATGTGTCTGTTTTTGTGCCAGTACCATACTGTCTTGATGAGTACAGCTTTGTAATATAACTTCAAATCTGGCATTGTGATGTCTCCAGTTTTGCTTTTCTTTTTCAGGATTGCTTTGGCTATTCGGGGTCTTTTGTCATTCCATACAGATTTTAGGATTGTTTGTTCTAGCTCTGTGAAAAATGCTGGTAGTATTTTGGTAGGGATCGCATTGAATGTGTCACTTGCTTTGGGTGTTATTGACATTTTCACAAGGTGACTTTTATAAAGTCACGTTAGGATACATATGATATTCTTTGAAGATGGGCCATCTTTAATTTTGTCGTTTAACTATTATGCTTTAGCAATACTGTCATGCTGCAATAGGGACAGCATTTATCACTCCAAAATGGGAGATATTAAATTAGGATTTACATGTTGTATTGGAGAAGGTTTTCTTATTGTGGCAGAAAAGTTGAAGTCATAGGAAAAATCTTACAGGTTGGACTATATAAAACAGGACTGCTAGGCAAAACACACCATAAACATATGAAAGACATGATAAACTGTAAAAAAAAAAAAAAGTATTTTAATTAAGTTTTTAATTTTAATTCCAAGTAGTTGACATTCAGCGTTATATTAGTTTCAGGTATTCAAAAATAGTGACTCAGCACTTCCACGCATGGCCCTGTGCTCATTGCAACAAGTGCACTCCTTCACCTGCATCTCCTATTTCCTCCATCCCTTCGCCCACCTCCCTGCCAGTAACCAGCAGTGTGTTCTCTTTAGTTAAGAGTCTGCCTCTTGGCTTGTGTCTCTCCTTTTTTATGTTTATTCTTTGTTTTGTTTCCTGAATTCCACATGTGAATGAAATCATATGGTATTTGTCTTTCTCTGACTGATTTCACTTAGCATGATACTCTCTAGCTCCATCCACGTCATTGCAAATGATAAGATTTCAGTCCTTTGTATGGCTGAGTAATATTCCATGGTGCCTGTACTACATCCTCTTTATCCCTTCATCTATCAATGGACACTGGATTCCTTCCAGAGTTTGGCTATTTGTCAGTAGCGCTGCTATAAACATTAGAGTGCATGTGCCACTTCAAATCAGTATCTTGTATCCTTTGGGTAAATACCTAGTAGTGCAGTTACTGGATTGTGGGGTATTTCTATTTTTGAGGAACTTCCATACTGTTCTCCAGAATGGCTGCACCAGTTTGCATTCCCACCAACAGCACAGGATGGTTCCCCTTTCTCTACATCCTCACCATCACCTGTTGTTTCTTGTGTTGTAAATTTTAGCCATTCTGACAGGTATGAGGTGATATGTCTTCATCATTTTGATTTTTATTTCTCTGATGATGAGTGATGTTGAGCATCTTTTCATGTGAGGGCCATCTGGATGTCTTCTTTGGAAAAATGTCTGTTCATGTCTGCTGCCCATTTTTAAATTGGATTATCTGCTTTTTGGGTGTTGAGTTGTATCAGTTATTCATGTATTGGATACTAATCCTTTATCAGCTATGTCTTTTTTTTTTTTTTTTTAGTTTCTATATCATTTATTTCTGCTGTAATGTTTATGATTTTCTTCCTTCTACTATTTTTGAGTTTTGTTTGTTATTTTTCCAGCTCCTTTAGGTGTAAGGTTAGGTTGTTTATTTGAGATTTTTCTTCTTCTTTTTTAAAAATTTTTGTTTATTTTTATTTTTCATTTATTTATTTTTTAAATTTTTTAAATGTTATTTATTTTTGAGACAGAGACAGAGTGTGAGCAGGGGAGGAACAGAGAGAGAGGGAGACAGGATCCAAAGCAGGCTCCAGGCTCTGAGCTGTCAGCACAGAGCCTGACACGGAGCTTGAACCCACAAACCGGGAGATCATGACCTGAGCTGAAGTCGAACGCTCAACCAACTGAGCTACCCAGGCACCTCTCTTACTCATTTTTTTTTTAGAGAGTACAGGGGAGAGGGACAGAAGGAGAAAAAGGGAGAGAATCTTAAGCAGGCTCCATGCTTCATGCTTAGCGCAGAGCCTGATGTGGGACTCAGTCCCATGATCCTGGGATGATGACCTGAACCTAAATCAAGAGTTGGGTGCTCAACTGACTGAGCCACCCAGGCACCCTGAGACTTTTCTTGCTTCTTGAGGTAGGCCTGTATTGCTATAAACTTCCCTCTTAGAACCACTTTTGCTGCATCCCAAAGATTTTGGACCACTGTGTTTTCATTTTCATAATTTTTTTTCTTCTTTGATTTCTTGGTTGACACATTGGTGTGTGATTTTTTTTTAATGAAGCCTTGATATTCTTAATATAAAAAGACATCTTGTAAGTCAATAACAAAGGGGCAGATGTCCCCATAAGGAGAAGAGCTAAGCCCTGAAGCAGGAAGTGTATTAATACATTTATTAAAAAAAATTTTTTTTAACATTTATTCATTTTTGAGAGAGAGAGAGACAGAACATGAGTGGGGGAGGGGCAGAGAGAGAAGGAGACACAGAATCTGAAGCAGGCTCCAGGCTCTGAGCTGTCAGCACAGAGCCCGACGTGGGGCTCAAACTCACAGACTGCAAGATCATGACCTGAGCCAAAGTCAGACACTTAACTGAGCCATCCAGGTGTCCTGATAAATTTATTTTTCAAATTGAGTATAGTTATATTAGTTTTAGGTATATAACATAATGATTCAACATTTATATATGTTATGAAATGATCACAGTAAGTCTAGATACCATCTGTCATCATACAAAGTTATTACAATATTATTAAGGCTTTTAGGCTTTCACCATTGTGTGTGTTGTTAGCTGTCAGTTTGTCTCTGTAATATCCTTACCTTGTAGATAGCACTATTCACTGGAATATCATGTGAGCCTTGGATTCAGTTTTAGATTTTCTAAGAGCAACATTAATAATAAGAATCAGAACATTAATTTTAATAATGTATTTTATTTAACTCAGCATATCAAAAATATTCCAATGTAAAATCAGTGTAAAAAATTATTGGGGTGCCTGGGTGGCTCACTCGGTTGAACGTCCAACTTCAGCTCAGGTCATGATCTCACAGCTCGTGAGTTCGAGCCCCGCGTCAGGTTCTGTGCTGACAGTTCGGAGCCTGCAGCCTGCTTTGGATTCTGTGCCTCCCTCTCCCTCTGCCCCAGCCCACTCGCATTCTGTCTCTCTCTCAAAAATAAATAAATATCAAAAAAATTATTAGTGAACTATTTTAGTCTTTTTTGTCTTAGGTCTTCAAAATCATATTTGACACTGACAGCACATCTCACGTCGACACTGTCCACATTTCCAGTGCTGGGGAAACACAGAGCTAATGACTATTAGCAGCAGAAGTCCAGCACTTTGTAGGTGATTCATAAATGCACATCCCATAAGCAAACTCTCAAAAAGTAATCTGTTTTTTTCTCAACAGACTACCATGCCTGCGGGAATCCTGCCTCAAAATGAAGAGCCATACTCCACTTTGGTGAATGACAGTCCATATGCTGCCAACATGAAGGGTAAGTTCTTTGATACACTTTTTGACGCTTTGTGCAGAGTAGCGTCTAATGAAACAGTAGGAGTAGACATGATGGAAAAGGCTCGAGGCCTCACACTAGAATCCCAAGTGCAGTCACTGCTTATGGCTCTTGTTTACTTCTGCCTCCCTGTTTTGACCTGTTAAAACTCCTTTTCAAAATCTTGAATAAGCGGTCTTTTGAGAAGGAATGTTGAAAACAAAGTTTGCCTCCTGCATTATCCTTAGACTGAAATGACCTCTTCCTCTCATTTCTAGCCTCCTTGTGAGGCAAGCTTTCTCTTCCATCCCTCGCAAGTGTCACTTCGAAGCAGGTGCCCCTGCTCCTCCCAGTTTGTTTCTTCTCCATTCCATCCCACACATTTGCTTTTTCCCATGGTAGCCCTGGGAAGAAGGGTGCTGTGACGGGGACCCTTGCTGCTGTCGCAGCTACTAGGCTGGCGACTGATTTCCTGCCATGAGCCATCAGCCAGACGTCAGGTCATTTTTTTTGGCAAAACCTTTGCATGGTTTTGGTCCTGCCCTGTTCGCGTTAGGGCTCCTGTATCGGGAACCTTGAAGGGCTTCCCCCTGCGTCACATGAGGGAACGTACAGAAAGTAAAGAGGCAGGGGTCTGAAGGTATTGGAGTCCCGAACTTGCCGGGAATAATGGGCTCTGTTGACTGTTCTCTCGTAGGACTCTGACCACCCCACCAGGGGGAGCCCTCTGTCATCAGGAAACCAGTGTCTCCCTCCTCTTACTTGTCAGAATTCCCCTCTTTGTAGTCCCTCCTGCGTCTGTCTGCTCCTGTCTGACTCAGTAGGGACCCGCCTATTGGTAACCACCGTTTGTGGACAGCGTCTGAGAGCTAACTCACTGTTTCCCTGCTTGAGAAAGAAGCGCTATCTAATACAAGGGCGGCAGCGGTGCCTCCTTGCTGCTTCCTTCGTACGGCATGTTTTTTGCCTAAAGGACGCCCCAGCTAACAACCCCGCGTCAGACCTTTTTCCCTCTCCCTTCTTCTGTCGAAATGTCCCCTCTTAGCTGGTGTTTCCCATCAGGGATCTTCTTGGCTTCTGAGATGGGCGAGTCTTCGTCGTACAGGAGAGCCAGGTGACGGCATCCCTGACCGAGTCCCATGATGTCCCCAGACTGCGGTGACAACCAGAAAACCTGATGTGTTTTCAGATGCCCTGGGGGAGGTCGTCATACCCATGTTGTGATCCTCTAGAGAAGCTGGTTTTACCTCTCCTAAAGCCATCTCTTTAATTGAAAATCTCCTCGTGTATAAAATGTAGCTAATTTTTAACTAGGAAAAAGTCTGGAGAAATAAGAAACTTACTTTATATCTAACTTTTTTAGAGTGAGTCTCATCTCTAAAGGTAGTTCTACCTACTGGGTTAACATTGGGCTAGGAAGCATTTTTTTTTTAATGTTGGCTAATGAACCATAAGGAAATTTAATTAGGGGGTCAGTAAGTAAAGTATTTAAATTATTTTTAAAGGAAAATAGAAAGAAAACTCAACAAGAACTAGCTATAGAATGAGACAAACAGATTTAAATATTCTAATTTTTGGAAAAAAAATTTGTGGGGAAATTTCAAACATTCGCAAAAGTATATAGAATACTACAAAGATCTCTGTGGAGGTACCACTGCCTCTATGGGTGCCAGTGGAGACCCCACCCCCAGGGAGGTCCCCTTCCCTGAGAGTTACCGTCCCCCATCTTTAACAATTTCGGCTCACTCACTTCCTCTACTCCTTTCCCTGCTTCCATATTACTTCATTTCATTCCTTAACCATATCGCCATCACCATAACTAGAAAAATTTAACACTGGTCACCTAATATCCTCAATACCTGAACATTGTTCAGATTTCTAGCTGTCTCATAGACGTATGTATGTTTGTTTGCATCAGGATCCAACAGAATCCATATTGCATAATTGGTTGATATGTATCTTACATCTGTTTTACATGTGGATTTTTCTCTCTCTTCCCTTACAATTTATTTTTGAAGAAACCAGGTTTTTTGCCCTATGGAGTTTGCCACAATCTGTATTTTTCTGATTTTATTCCCACATTATTTCCTGTAAACTGGATTAGTGGAGGGATGTAGAACCTAATCAAGTTTTTTTTTTAATTTACAACCGTGTTTCATGGATGGCACTATATTCTTCCATCAGAGTGCCTGTGATGTCTAGTTGTCTCTCGTGATGTTAGTTCTTTCATTTTGCAAGAATTTCAGACTCGTAGAAAAGCATTAAAAAATCCCTAAATGCTGTTCACCCAGAGACCCCCCCTCTCAAGTTTGGTCAGCTGTGCCAGTAACATCCTTTAATAGCAAAAGGATACTTGTCATGTTTTTCCAGTTTCTTTCTGTGAACACAGTCCTGCCTTGATGTCTGTGAAACTTACAGGCCAGGTACTTTGCAGCATATTCCTCACTGGGGGTTTGTCTGCTGTTTCATCGTAACACCGTTGAGGTTTTGTGTTTCTGGCAGGAACATCACAGAAATGACTTCATTCTCTTCTCACGGCATCCCATCAAGTGACCCAGAACGCCATCTTGCCACATCCCTGGGGTGCTCAGTTTGGTCCCATCAGTGCAGTGGTGTCTGCGGGCTGTATCCACTGTAAGTCGTTCCTTCTCCCTTCGACTTCGTACTTGGTGGAGAGGCGCTGGGAGACTGTGGGCACCTGGTCTTCACCCAGCTCTCTCCCAGCCCCGCGGCATCCGCTGGCGTCTCTTGCCTGAATTAAGCATTGTGGTGACAGATGACGGAGGGGAGGCTTCCTGACCCCATCACTGCTCCTGCATTTCTTAGCCGGCATTCTCCAGGAGCAGTTCCCCTTCCCCTTGGCTCATTCAGTTATTCTCCGTTCCGGCGTAGATCCTCATCTGTGCAGGGAGTGTACTCTTTCACTGTCCTTTGTTTTCGCACTCCGCTGTCCCCCATTGGGCCAGAAGAGCCTCTCCAGCCTGTAGCTGTGTCATCTGGACACGTCCCTGCTCCCTGCTCCCTGCTCCCTGCCTCCTAGCCCAGCAAGGTCTTTGGTGTCCTCTTGTACCTTTCCTGGTCCAGCCCTGAAGTCACCCGTTTCTGCCAGGAGCTCTGGTTCCTTCCAGGGCAGAGTGGTGTTGGGAAACCCAAAATGTGTCCCCAAGCTCCCTGCAAGACAAAGCCAGGAAGTGTATGTTATAAGTGTGCATAGATATCTACCCGCTTTTATACACATATTTGTTTTTATATATTGAAAACTATGAGTTGATATTGGTACTTGCTGTTGTCTCAGCCATCACTGTACCATCGTTCTAGCTTTTCCCCTTACTGAGTTTATAATTCCCTTCTCCAAGAATGAGGAACCTTGCTCTTATTTAGCGAGTCCTCCTTTTCATGACCCGTCTCCCAGCCCCGCCCTGCCATCACTTGCCTCCGCTCGCTCTTCCACACAGGGCCTGTGCCCTGCTGGCTCGAGTGCCACAGACTCTGCTACAGCTGACCCTTGAGCAGGCGGGTCTGGACCCTGACCACCAGCACAGATGAAAATCCACATATAACTTTTGACTCCTTGAAAGCTTAGCCACTAATAGCCTCCTGTTGACTGGGAGCCTCACCAACACCATTGATTAACACAGATCTTGTGTGTTATATTTTGTATTTTTACAATAAAGTAGCTAGAGAAAAGAAGACGTTATTAAGAAAATCCTAGGGAAGAGAAACTACATTTACAGTACCATATGGTATTTATCCAAAGACATCTGCTTATATGTAGACACATGGAGTTGAAACCCATGTTGTTCAAGGGTCACCTGTGGTTGCCTTCCTTCTGTGGGGCCTGACCTTTGCTAAGTAGGCCTGCTTTGTGGCTGTTCTTATCTTGATTATGTGTACACTTTTAATTAAGATATTGAGATAATTATACAGTCAGTCACATGCAGTTGTGAGTCATATACCCTTTACTCCGTTTCCATCAATAGTAACATCTTGCGCATCCGTAGTTCAGTGTCCTGGCCAGGATGTCAACATTGTTGCAGTCGAGATACAGGATGGCACTGTCACTGCAAGGATCCCCCCTATTGCCTTTTGTAGCCAGACCCACTTCCTCCCATGAGCCTGGCCCGTGACAAGTACTCATGTGTTCCCACTTCTATGATTTTGTCATTTCAGGAATTGTATATAAGTGAAATCACACACCATGTAGCCATTTGAGTCAGCTTTTTCCACTTGGTGTCATTCTGTTGGTGTTGTGTATCCACGGTGTACTTGTTCTTAATGCCAAGTGGCCTTGCCTGGTAGGGGTGCACCACGGGGTGTTTATCCTTTCACTCCCCCAAAGGATGGCCAGGTGGTTTCCGTTTGGGGCTCTTGTGAACACACATGAGCAGCTTTATGTGTGAGCGGGAGTTTCCCTTGCTCCGGGGTCAGGGGTCAGGAAGGAACTTCCTAGTTCACACAGTAGTCGCATGTTCAGTTTTACAGGAAACTGCCAAAGTGTTAACCAAAATAGCTGTGCCATTTTGTGTCCCCCAGCAGTGGGCGAGTGATCAGCTTTCTCTGCTGTTTCACTGTCCCAGCAGGTGCGTGCTAGTGTCTTACTGTGGTTGCTCAGCTCACCCACTAGGTCTAGGAGGCTTTTGGAGATTCTTTGCGATTTTGTGTGCAAACAATCACATCAGCAAATAAGAGCAGTTTTATTTCTTTCCTTGGCAATCTGTATGCCAGTATTTCTCTTCTTGCCTTACGGGAGTGGCCTAGCACGTCTGCTGAGCAGAGAGAGTTCGGAGGGCCACTGGCCTTGCCTTCCTCCTCCCTCAGGGAGAAGACCGTGTTTCGCCTTTCAACATGATGCTTACAGATTCTCGCAGGTTCTCTACAACAAGTTGAACCAGTTGCCCTCTGTTGTTAACTCACTGAGATTTTTTTGGTCATGAATGGCTGCTGGAATTTGTAGAATGCTTTTCTGTGTCATTTGATAAAATTATTTTTTCTTTAGCTTATTG